ACGGCCTCCGGAATTCCTGGGATTCCGTCGATCTGAGTGATCCGTGTACGTGCACCGGCCAGCGAAGAAAATCGGAACGTTGGTAAATTTTGACCCGCGTAAATACTCACGGAACTATAATTAAGTTAAAGCGAAAGCAATGTGGACGCAAGTCTTTAAATAATGAAAATAAATATTTGAATATATAAATGTATAAATATATAAATATATAAATGTATAAATGTATAAATATATAAATATATAAATATATAAAGGTATGAATATATAAATATATAAATGTATAAATACATAAATATGTAAATGTATAAATGTATAAATATATAAATATATAAATACGTAACTATGTAAATATATAAATATGTAAATATGTATATATGTAAATATGTATATATGTAAATATCTAAATATGTAAATATGTAAATACCTAAATATCTAAATGTGTAAATATGTAAATATGTAAGTATATAAGTATAGTGTGAATAATGAAAGTGTGAATAAATAAAATAAAAAAAATTAAATTATTAAGTGTGAATAATGAAATAACGTGAACTGATATCGGTATGAAATAAATAAATTAATATAAATAGAAATAAATTGGCGCGCTTACTATCTGTGGACGTTATTGATCATGGCACAGATAGTATGACAGATGATGTTGTAGTGCTGCACAGAGAAAGTACTGACGCCAGATACGGCCCCATCGCAGGAAGCCGATCGTCAACGCATTAAAATTGCGCTGGCTATCTCTGACGCTCTCCGCCAGATGGCTATCTCTCCCGCTGCTACCCGATCCGTCATCCATTTGTATATAAGCCGTCGTCAACCGTACTTACGGTATCTCCTAAGTCAAAGTCCGCTAGATGGTGGACGAGGCATCTCTGCAGGGTTTGCTTAAGAAGTACTAACGAGACTTTTAGTAGGGTCTGCTAGGTACTGATGGTCAGTCATAACTAGTAGGATCTGCTGGAATATTGATAAGTCCTTTAAAGATGTTTTCTAGGGTCTTCTGAATGTAATGAGTCCTGTAGAAGGGTTTGCTTTTATGGTACTTGTGAACCTTGAATCCAGCAGGGTTTGATAAAATACTGATGAATCTTTCACTTGACCCTGCTAAATATTGATGAATTATCCACTAGAGCCTGCTAAATATTTATGAATACTCTTCTGGGCCTATATAAATATTGATGAATCTTCTACTAGAGCCTGCTAAATATTGATGACTGCACTACTAGAGCCTGTTAAATATTGATGAATTATCCACTAGACACTGCTAAATATTGATGAATCTTCTTCTAAATCCTGCTAATTATTGATGAATACACTCCTAGACCTAGATAAATATTGATGAATCATCTACTAGAGCCGGTTGAATATTGATGAATCCTCTAATAGAGCCGGCTAAATATTGATGAATCCTCTTTTAGACCCAGCTAAATATTGACAAGTCCTTCACTAAATCCTGCTAAATGCTGTCAAGTCTCGTAGAAGGGACTGCTAAGATACCTTCAAGTCCTCTATCAGTATCAATTACACATTGCAAACGAAGTCCCCTATCAGGCCCAGCAAGAAGTACCCTTCCCACTGCACCAACAGTCTCTAATGGTCCACGAACTCGCCAAGAACTTCGCCAAGAAACCCACCGTATCAATGAAACGTGAATCTCTTCCAGGTGAAATACGTGCAAGATACATCAGAAAAAGGCCAACATCCGATATTGTACCTCTTGCCGCTCCGTTCGGTCCCGCGTTCCAACAAGATACCCGAAAACCATGGGGTCCGCATTAAATGATAGTAATCGTGGATCAAAGCGGTGACGAGTGGCGGCCCCCCCGCGAGCTTGTTTTTCGGCCGTGAGGGCCTTGGCGGACCTTCGTGGGCGAGGAGGAAGGGGGAAGAGGAAATAGATTTCGACCGTGGTAGCGAACGATAGAGGAAGAGAGAGAGACGGAGAACTGTGGGTGGCCGGGATGGGAGAGGTGGAAAGTGCCGAGCAAGGTATACAGATCGAAGAGAGTGAGAGAGAGAGAGAGGGGGGGAGACATGGTGGTTTGATAGTAGGGAGGGGGGTTCATGGTGGGAGGAAGCAGAGGATCAAAGGCTGGCGAGGAGGACGACGGGGAGCGACCGATAATGAAAACGCGGGACAGGGACTGTCGTCGGGGAACGGTGGACGGAACGAGAGAGGAGCAGAGAGAGACTGTTTGGTGGTAGGGGTCCCCTCAACATCTGTCCTTCTCACAATCCCTCTCCCTCTCTCTCTTGCGCTCGCGCGCTCTCTCGCTCTTGCTCTCACGATCTATCTCGTTCTGTCGACTTCTCTCAAGCTCTGCGATTCTCTCATTGCACATCTCAGCCTCAATCTCTCTTTCTCTCTTTCTCCTTTACTCTTTTTCTCTCTCTCTTTCTTTCTTTCTCTCACTTTCTCTTAGATCCGATCTCTCACTATGTAATTTTACATCATTCTCTGGGTATTATTCTTTCTCATTCTCGTTCAGCCTCGATCTCTCTCTCTTTCTCATTTTCTAAATCTCTCTCTCTCTCATTCTCTGAGTCTCTCCTTTTTTCTCTCTCTCTCTCTCTCATTCTCTGAGTCTCACCCTTTCTCTCTCTCTCTCTCTCATTCTGTGAGTCTCTCCCTTTCTCTCTCCCTCTCTCTTTCTTATTTTCTAAATCTCTCCCTGTCTCTCATTCATTCTCTGAGTCTCTTCCGTTCTCTCTCCTCTTCCTCTCTCTTTCTCATTCTCTCTCACACATTCTCTGAGTATCTCACTCTATCTCTTTCTCATTCTCGAAATCTCTCTCTCACACATTCTCTGAGTATCTCTCTTTCTACCTCTTTCTCATTCTCTAAATCTCTCTCTCACTTTCTCACATTCTCCGAGTCTCTCATTCTATCTCTTTCTCAATCTCTAAATCTCTCTTTCTCTCATTCTCTGAGTCTCTCTCTCTATCTCTTTCTTATTTTCTAAATCTCTTTCTCTCTCATTTTCTGAATCTCTCGCTTTCTATCTCTTTCTCATTCTCTAAATATCTCTCTCTTTCTCACATTCTCTGAGTCTCTCTTTCTATCTCTTTCTCATTCCTTAAATCTCTCTCTCTCTCTCTTTCATTCTCTGAGTCTCTCTCTTTATCTCTATCTCTTTCTCATTCTCTAAATCTCTTTCTTCCTCATTCTCTGAGTCCCTCGCTTTCTATCTTTTTTTCATTCTCTAAATCGCTCTCTCTCTCTCTCTCTCTCTCATTTTCTAAATCTCTCTTTCTCTCAATTTTTTGAGTCTCGCTCTCTCTCTCTCTCTCATTCTGTACCAGTCTCAATCTCTCTTTCATTCTTTTCCAATCTCAATCTCTTTATCTCCCTCTTTTACACACAAACACTCTTTCTTTCTCTCTCTCTCTCTCTCTCTCTCTCTCTCTCTCAGTTTCTTCCAGTCTCAATCTCTCTGATTCTCAATCTCAATCACTTTTATTCTCTCCCAGTCTGAATCTCTCTCTCATTCTCTAAGTCTCTTTTTTCGTCTCTCTCTCTCATTCTCTAAATGTCAATTTCTCTTTAAATTTCTCTCTCTCCCTCTCAGTCTCTCCCAGTCTCTCTCATGCTCATAATCTCAATCACTCTAACAATTTCTCATTCTCTTATCTTCTCTCTCAGTCTCAATTAATCAAAATCTCTCTCTCTCTCTCTCTCTCTCTCTCAGTTTTAATATCTCTTAATCCATCTCATTCTCTTTCAATCTCAATTTTCCTCATTAACTTTTGATCTCTTTCATTTTCCCTCAACCATCTCTCTCTTTCTCTCTCTCTCTCTCCCATCCTTTCTCAGTCTCAATGTCTCTCCTTCTTCTTCAATCTCAGGTTCTCTCGTTTCTTCCTCATTCTCTTTCAGTCTCAATCTCTCCCTTCCTCTCACTCTCTCTCTTTCTCTCTCATTCTCTCTCAATTTCTCCACACAGTCTCTCCCTGTCTCTCTCGACCTTTCTCCATTCTCTCTCAGCCTCGAACTCCTAGTCGACGAACAGGAGAGAGCAAGGCGCTCAGCTTCTGTCTAAAAGAGAAGAAGAGACGCTGAACTCGGGAGAGAAAGAGAGAGACTAAGCTTGGGTGAAGATGAAGGCAAAAGAGAGAGAGAGAGAGAGAGAGAGGACGAGCTCAAGAAAGAAAGGGAGAGATTAAGCTTGCGAGATGGAGAAAGTAAGAGAAGGAGAGATTGAAAGAGTGAGGTTATGCTCGAGAGAAGATGAGAGCAAGAGAGAGAGAGAGAGAGCAAGCGAGCTCGAGAGAGGAAGAGAGAGAGGTTAAGCTTGAGAGAACGAGAGAATAAGGGAGAGAGAGTGACAACAAGCTCGAGAGAAAAAGAGAGGGAGCTTAAGCTTGAGAGAACGAGAGAGTAAGAGAGAGAGAGAGAAAGAGAGAAAGCGCAAGAGAGAGTGGTCCAGCTTGAAAGAACGAGAGATTAAGAGAGAAAGAGAGAGAAAACGAAAGCAGCAAGCTTAAGCTTAAGAGAATAAGATAGCAAGTCAGAGAGAGAGAGTGAGAAAGCGAGCTCGAGAGGTTAAGCTTCAGAGAAAGAGAATGAGAGAGAGATTGCGCTCGAGCGATAAACAGAGAGAGAGAGAGTGAGAGAGAGAGAGAGAGAGAGCTCGAAAGAGAAAGAGAGCGATGGAGCCCGAAAGAAGAAGCGAGAAAGAGCGTAAGCCTGAGAAAGGAGAAGAGCGGCCACGCGTGAGAGCAGAAGAGAGGGAGAGAGCGAGCCACTCGGAGAGAGAGCGCCGCGACTCAAAGCGAGAGAGAGAGAGCGATCGAGGGAGCTCTCGTGAGAGGGGGAGTGGGAGCTGGGGCGTCGCGACTCCGAGAGAGAGAGTGGGAGAGAGAGAGAGAGAGAGAGAGGGAGAGAGAGAAAGGTAAAAGTCAGAAACGGGAAGCGGGACGGAGAGCGCCGGGATGATTGAGCTCGGCGGAGCGAGCGGCGGCCGGAGCGGGCCGGAGCGGGCCGAGCGGCGGCCGGAGCGGGACCGCGCCAGCGGCGAGATCGACGACGTAAGGAACGTAGGAAGGAAGGAGAGGCTCCCGTGTCGGTGTCGGTTCGCGCTTGCATTGCTTTTCGAAGCTCGCGCGCGAAAGGTTCGTGGGTAGGTGCGTGAGCGCGTGTGCCGATCCTGGACGCACGTGAAAATCCGAGTCCGGCCCGTAGTAAAGACACGGTGGGTCCCCGCGCGTCGAGAGGACCAATTTTTTTCCGACCGGTGCACCGGACCCGCGGTCTGCCGCCCTTTTATTCCTCCTCTTCCTTCTCTTCCTCCGCGTTCTTTTCCCGTCGAATCTGCGCGCCCCGGCCCGGCCCGGCCCGGCCCGTACAACCGTAAATCGCTGGAACACGCTCGGGACGTCCGCGCGGATCACGCGCCGGCAAAGCCGCTGCCCGCGCCGCCAGCTTTGAGGTCAAACGGAATAACGGGGAGAAAGGCGGAGTGCAAGTTAAACCGTGCGAGGAAAGCGGAAGAAGAAGGATCTGCCAGGGGTCACGGAGAAAGGTACAATTCTAAGGACCGGCCCGATAGCTTTTCGCGTTACGCCGCGGTCGCGGCGCGCCGCTGGTAGCCCGCCGCGGTTCGGACTGCCGATTCTCCTGGACAAAAGTCGAATCGTCCAGCGCGGAAATATATTTTTACGCGAGCGACAATCGGACCGCGGATTCATGCGCGAATTGGATCGTCGTTGACGAATTACCGATGAAATAATGGAACAGTGTAATCAGTGGTGTTCAACGATCAATTTCTCCGAATTTTATTGGCATCTGCGAATTCTCAATTTCAATTTTTCAATTCCAATTTCTCAATTTCAATTCTTCGATTTCAATTTTTCAATTCCAATTTCTCAATTTCAATTCTTCGATTTCAATTTTTCAATTTCAATTCTTCGATTTCAATTCTTCAATTTCAATTCTTCAATTTCAATTTTGCAATTTCAATTTAACTTGTATTCAATTTGTTGCAATTGAGAAACGATTTATCTGTGGAGTTGTGTGCAATAATTTAAACCAATTAAATGCATTCTTCGTTACTTAATAATTTTAATATAACCGAAAACAGTGCGATTTGCATTGGTCTAACGACTTCGCAGTGTTTCACTGTTCCAAACGAGAGCTGTTCATTTTCGTCGTAAACACACGAGATCTGCAATCTAATTGTCACACCGTGTATCAGAATAGTCTTTTCATCAATTTCATTCCTCGCTACTATATTAGATAATTCACGGTCATCCGACCGTTCAATCTACTTTTCTTGGAAAATGTAAATAGCCCGGGCAGCACAATGGAGCATGCTTCGCAGCTCCTCGTAATTCGCAGAAAATTCTCCATAGTATATAGCGGCTTAGATCTGTTCGGAGTAAGTTGCCGGCTCGGCTTGATTCGCGCTTGCTCCACGGTCTAGCAGTTTTAACGCGCACCGGTGTAATTACACATTTGCCTCAAGTGGCTCGTTCGGCTCGCATAAAGTAATTTTATTACGATTTCATTATTTCTTGTTGCACGCAACACTGTCCCCCTGGCATAAAAGCGACTTTATTGANAATTTTTCAATTCCAATTTCTCAATTTCAATTCTTCGATTTCAATTTTTCAATTTCAATTCTTCGATTTCAATTCTTCAATTTCAATTCTTCAATTTCAATTTTGCAATTTCAATTTAACTTGTATTCAATTTGTTGCAATTGAGAAACGATTTATCTGTGGAGTTGTGTGCAATAATTTAAACCAATTAAATGCATTCTTCGTTACTTAATAATTTTAATATAACCGAAAACAGTGCGATTTGCATTGGTCTAACGACTTCGCAGTGTTTCACTGTTCCAAACGAGAGCTGTTCATTTTCGTCGTAAACACACGAGATCTGCAATCTAATTGTCACACCGTGTATCAGAATAGTCTTTTCATCAATTTCATTCCTCGCTACTATATTAGATAATTCACGGTCATCCGACCGTTCAATCTACTTTTCTTGGAAAATGTAAATAGCCCGGGCAGCACAATGGAGCATGCTTCGCAGCTCCTCGTAATTCGCAGAAAATTCTCCATAGTATATAGCGGCTTAGATCTGTTCGGAGTAAGTTGCCGGCTCGGCTTGATTCGCGCTTGCTCCACGGTCTAGCAGTTTTAACGCGCACCGGTGTAATTACACATTTGCCTCAAGTGGCTCGTTCGGCTCGCATAAAGTAATTTTATTACGATTTCATTATTTCTTGTTGCACGCAACACTGTCCCCCTGGCATAAAAGCGACTTTATTGACGCATTGTACCGCCGTAGTATTTATCGGCCAACAAATACTTCCTCTCGCTACGTAAATACGCTCGTTCTAATAATTCGCACGGGATCAAGAAACCAGCTGCGCGCGACGCACGCGATAATAAATCTGCCGTACTAGAACGGAAAATAAATGAGTTTGACGTTCATTAAAAGCTCCCGTCGATCACCGTACCCAGCATCGTCCGTCGGCCGTATTCGCGACCCGCGATACTGTGCATTCGAATTCGAAAGATTTGACAATTCTCGCGACCATAATCAATATTTCATTCTTACCAATTGTTACCTTATCTTTGTAATTCCAGTGTCAATGGATAGCTGACAGTTTTCTGATTAAAATGAGTACAAACACGACGGAAATTGGACTGGTTTAAACTATTCTAGGTTTAATTAACGAGTGATCTACAGGATGTACGTAATAACTTGATTCATTTGAATGTATTTCTTGTTCTCAATAATGTGAAAGTATCATTAGCTGCTAAATGATAACAATATATATACTCCTGTGTAGAAAAGCATCGTAATCAAGAATGAGTAAAATGTTCAAAACGATCGATTTATTTCGTTCACCCAATATGTAGTAATCAGCTCTTCGTGGTCCGATTACCGTCGTGTTTGGACTCATTCTAATGAGAAAAGTCTGAGCAATCCACATTAATACTTTTAAAACGATAAAGCAGAAATTAGAAAATTTCGAGCTTCCGTTTTCATTATTCTTTACGCTTTCATTAGAGTATGCCTCCTTCCTTCCTTTCGTCTTGTCGCGTTTCGAGCACGACACTGCCGGTAAAATGTGAACAACGGATCATTTCAATTTCAAACGAGTGTCGCTGCGAATAATGCATCGGGAGGGCTGATCGACGGAATTCGGAGCAGGAGAGATACTGCACTTCTGCAGATGTGTCGGACTTTAATTCGCCCCGTTCGGCACGAGATTAGATTTGACGCTTTATTGAACTAACAATCAAGACGATGACATCAGAGGCTCGGCTGCACGGCCAAAATAAACTTTGCTGAACGACTCCCGCGCGCGCGCGATCAGGCCACGGCGAAACTTCTGTGTGCCGCCGATCGGCCACGGAGAGACACGAATTTTATCATTCCGCGTGTGTACCTGTTCACCGAGATACGTGAACTTGGGTTAGCCGTCGGTACACAACGGTGCGCGGCGACGATATTAATGGTAAATACAGCGATCGGTTCCGTATCGGACCCCTTCGCAAATAAAGGGCGCGAACATGCTCGGAAATCTTTGCTAAAACGCGTGCACTCGATGACGGTGACAAAATAATTCATAATAACTAGGTCTATATTTTCTGTTAAAAATCATTCAGAATTGTAATTTCTATTACAAGTCTACTGTTGAAAACCATTTACGATTATTGTTTCTGCTGAAAATCAATTATTAAAAATTAAGTGTAATTGTAATTGCTGTTAAACTTCATTCAAGAATTAATTATTATTACAATTGCTTTTTAAAATCAAGTATAATTCTAGATTCTATTAAATTTCTAATTAAAAATCGATGGTAATTCTAATTGATATTAAAAATTATATAATTACAAATTGTTTATGATTATAATTTTTAGAAAAAGAATCGTCTATTAATGAATTATATTCAATTATAATTTTCGGTAAATATCAATTATTAAAAATTAATTTTAATTGAAATTTCTGTTAAACTTCTATTTAAAAATCAATTATAATTATACTTTCTTTCAATTATTAATGATTCATTGTATTTGCAATTTCTGTTGAACTCCTATTTAAAAATCAATTATAATTATAATTTCTTTTAATAATCAATTATATTTATAATTTCTTCTAATAATCAATTATAATTATAATTTCTTTTAACAATCAATTATAAATATAATTTTCTTTAACGATCAATCATAACTATAATTTCTATCGCAAATCAACTAAAATTCTACTTTCAATTAACAAGCATTTGCAAATATAATTTCAATTAAAAATCATATAAATCATTAAAATCATACAACTATAATTTCCATTAAAAAACAATTACAATTACCATTCCTATAAAATCTAGCAAGGCTCTCGCCGAACAAAGAACGTGATGGACCGATGGGTAACCGTGACTAAAGAGTGGGGGGGGGGGGGGGG